GTTGGTGGAGTTTTTAAAGGTATTTTTGTTTAATGGAGGTTTTAAAGGTATTTTAAGGGCTTGTTTTAATGGGTTTTAATTTAAAGGTATTTTAAGGGCTTGTTTTAATGGGGTTTTAGGTATTTTAAGGCTTTGTTTTATCGTAAGGTATTTTAAGGCGTCTTTAAGGGTTGTATTATTTTTTTAAGGTAATTTGAGGATATTGAAATTTTTATTTTAAGGGATTGTTTAAGGGGTTTTAGGTAATTTTAGGATTTTTAAAGGGATTGTTTTAAGAGGGTTTTGGTATGTTTTAGGATTTTTTTTGTGTTTAATGGGATTGTTTTAATTTTTAAAGGTAATTTTAGGATTTTTTCCTATCATTTAAGATTGTTTTAAGGGATTTTAGGGATTGTGAGGGTAATTTTTAAGGCCTTTTTGGGATTATTTGTGTGGATTTTAAGGCGTTCCAGGTATTGTCTGGGTAGTTCTTTTTAATGTGATTTTAAGTATTTTTAGTGTGGATTTAAAGGTGTTTTATGGGTACTTTAGGTGGCTTTTATTATTGTTATCATTATGGTTTTATTGTTTTATTTATTTTTAGGTATTTCTAAGGTGTTTTTTAAAGGTGGTTTAGGGATTCTTTGGGGAGCAATTTTAAGGGTATTTTTTAGTGCTTTAGGTATTCTTTGTGTGAATTTTAAGGCGTTTAAGGGGTTTTAGATCCTGCCCGGGTAATTTTTAAAGGGTTTTAGGTCTTGTCTTTTTCAGCTTTGATTTTTTTAGGTATTATTAGGTCGTCCACTAAATGTTTATTTTTCTTTATAGTTTTTAGGGATTACTTTTTACCTTTGTTATTGCTATTATATATATTATATATTATATATATATATATATATATATATATATATATATATATATATATATATATATATATATATATATATAATTTTTTATATTAATATTATTTATTATTATTATTATTATTATTATTATTATTATTATTATTATCATTATTATTATTTAGTATTTTTTTAATAGAAGACAAATGAATATACCAAAGAAAAATAACAACAACAACAAAATCACAACTAGCTTTTCGGAACTAGGATCCAAAGCGCCGGAAGTGACAACCGGAAGACCAGTATCAGCCAATAACGAAGAGGGAGATGAGCAAAATTGGATAAATCGGAGGAGAGCGGAAAATGCGTCTTAGTCGGGGGGTGGGGGGTGGGGGGGGGGAGGAGGAAGAGGAATTTCGCAGAATCGATCCCCTCTTCAGTATTATTATTAATTGATATCGGTACACACACACACATACATACATACATACACGCACGTACGGGCACAGACACACATGTGTATGTATATATGTGTATATGTGTGTGTGTGTGTGTGTGTGTGTGTGTGTGTGTGTGTGTGTGTGGTGTGTGTGTGTGTGTGTGTGTGTGTGTGTGTGTGTGTTTATAATCAATATTATTTCGGAAAATATCATTTTATTTTCACTTACTGATGTACAGCAAATATTCTCATTAATACAGTTACGGTAATTCTGGTATTAATTATATTGCTGTCTGTTATCATAATTATTGTAATTTTGTCATCATTATTTGATCTCTATGCTAATGAAGATTGTGATGATGGTAATTTGAATAATATTGATGACAATACTCAGAATGACAGTGATGATAGTAGTAATGATAATGGAAATAATGGTAAATTATTAGTGATTAGTGATTAGTGATGCTCATCATAAATAGGAACAAATAATGCTGATGATCATGATAATGAGGACGATGATAATGATGATATTCATGATGAGAGAAACAATAAAAACAATCATATTAATAACAACGACAGCAATAAAGACAATTATAGCGTCATGGTAAATACCACAATAATGAAACCAACAGCAATAACAACAGTAATAAAAGACAATAACAATAATAACAACAGAACAATATTTCAAGCAATAACTGCCTGTCGATCCAGAAGTCATTACTGACAATAACACGAATAAAAATTATCCTCAATACAACCTCACTAACATCATTACTGATAATAACACGATCAAAATTATCCTTAATTACCCACGAGTTATGAGAACAGTAATGACCGCTTCTGACGTCATAATAAGATAGCAAATTGAATACCAATTGCATAGATAAAATTAATTACAGGAATATGCTAATGATATGGTAATGTGATGTGAATTATGACTATAATGAGTGATTTAGAGTCATTATCTTTTTTAGACTTTGATTAGATTTTATGATAATGATTATAACATTAATACTGGTTGTGATGTTTGTTGATATCGTTACAACTATCAGCGAATTGTTGTTCAAATGCATAAATTAATTATCGATATTACAAATTATAAAGAATATATAAATGATTGTATATATAGATAGATAGATAGATAGATAGATAGATAGATAGATAGATAGATAGATAGATAGATAGATAGATAGATAGATAGATAGATAGATAGATAGATAGATAGATAGATAGATAGATAGATATAGATAGATAGATAGATAGATAGATATAGTGTTACGCAACTGGATAAGTAATTATGGAGAGGATGAATGATGATGAAAAATGACAAAACAAATAAAAAAGAAAAGTAGAGAAAATAAACAGTTATCTAAATAACAGCAGACATAAAGTTGATAACAAGAGGATCACGCGAATGAAAACAATTATTTTTATTGACATTTTTTTATTGTTCTTTTTCCCGTCGACTGTTGTGTCAGATGTCACTATTAGAATTAAATATCCTCTTCTGAATAAAATAATAATAATGATAATAAGATAATGATAAATAATAATAATAAAAATAGCTGTCCAGTCTTTGCCTAGATAATATTTCATGTTTAGATAAATTTTGCACAAACTATAACCGTAAGATATTGTTAGATGGATAAGCAATCGCTAAAATGTTGAATGTTATTATGAAATTAAAATACAACGGTGAAGAAAATAGACAAATAAAATAAATTCAAACTTTATAATAGGATAAAGAAATAAACACATATTGATGAAGAAATGAATGGATAAATAGATAAATGAATAAGTGAATAATGAATAAAATTAATGATGCCATGAATAAATTGATACATGAAAGACAAACTTTAGTCGTATTAAAGGAAAGGAGAGAGAGAGAGAGGGGGGAGATAGATTGATAGATAGAGATAGATAGATAGATAGATAGATAGAGATAGAGAGAGAGAGAGAGAGAGAGATAGATTGATAGATAGATAGATAGATAGATAGATAGAGAGAGAGAGAGAGAGAGAGAGAGAGAGAGAGAGAGAGAGAGAGAGAGAGAGAGAGAGAGAAAGAAAGAAAGAAAGAAAGAAAGAAAGAAAGAAAGAAAGAAAGAGAGAGAGAAGAGAGAGAGAGAAGAAAGAGAGGGGAGGGGAGAGGAGAAGAGAGAAAGAAAGAGAGAAAGAAAGAAAGGAGAGAGAAAGAATGAGAGAGAAAAAATAAATAAATAAAAGAGAGAGAGCGAGAAAAAAAAACGCATTGCAGTTTCACCGAAGGACAAATGCAACAGACCATTTTTCTTTATTGGGTCCAAAGGGTTATTGTGAAGTGAGTGTGAAATGCCTGGTGACACAGCGCTCTCTATCTCCGGTGAGGGGAGACGGGGAGAGGGGAAAGAGGGGAAGAGGAAAAGAAAAAGGAGATAGAAGGAGGCGAAGAGAGATGGGGAGACCGGGAGAGGGGAAGAGGGAAAGAGGGAAAAATAGGAAAGAGGAGGAGAGAAAAGGGGGAATGAAGCGAGAGGTAGGGAAAGGGGAAAGAGCGAAAGAGGGGATAGGGAAAAATAGAAAAGAGGAAAGAAAAGGAAACGCAAAAAATAAGGAAGAGGAATGAAGCGAGAAATTGGGAAAGGGGAAAGAGTGGATAGAGAAAGGCAGGGAAGAGGAGATAGAAGGAAAAGAAGAGAGAGATGGAAAGGGAAGAGAGAAAGAAGGGAAGAGGGGGCAAGAAAAGGAAAGAGGAAATAGAAGGAAGCGAAGAGAGATGGGGGAGACTGAGAGAGGGGAAGGGGGAAAGGCAGGAAAGAGGAGATAGAAGGAATAGAAGAGAGAGATGGGGGAAGGAGAGAGGAGAATGATAAAAAAGATAGAGAGAAGAAACAGAAGAGAGGGATGGGGAGACTGGGAGAGGGGAAAGGGGAAGAGTGGGTGCGGAAAGGTAGAAAAGACGAGATAGAAAGAAGCTAAGAGATAGTTTGAGAGAAAGAAGAAATGGGGTAGACAGAAGAGGAAGAGGTCAGAAAGAGGAGAAAGAGAAATAAAGAAAAGATGAATATGGGAAAGAGAGAGATGGAGAGAGGAGGAAGAAAAAAAAGAAGTAGAGAAGAGATGAGAAGGAAAAGAGGGAAGAGAGAGAGAGAGAGAGAGAGAGAGAGAGAGAGAGAGAGAGAGAGAGAGAGAGAGAGAGAGAGAGAGAGAGAGAGAGAGAGAGAGAGAGAGAGAGAAGAGGAAGAGAAGAGAACGAAATAGGAAGATAACGAGAGAAAGGAGAAGTGAAAAAGGAGAGAAAATACATAGACGGGAGTAGAGAAGAGAGAGGGGGGAGAGAGAGGAGGGAGAAGAGAGAGAGGGAGAGAGAGAGGGGAGAGGAGAGAGGAGAGGAGGAGAGGAGAGAGAGAGGAGAGGGGAGAGAGGGAGAGAGGAGAGGGGAGAGAGGGGTGTGCATGGGCGAGGGAGTGGGCGGGGAATGATTAAATGGTTGTTGGCTGCGTTATTGCATTTAATTGTCTCGATCAAGGGCCGTTGTTCCGAGTGTCGACTGCGGAGCTGACTTCGGCTTCATGTTCGAGTGGCGTTCGGTTAGTTATTTATGTATGGCTTTTGGCAATGAAGTCTTAGTTTAGAGATAACATTCGGTGGAAATCAATTTAGTGAGGATTCAAGGTGTTTTTTTTTAATAACATAATTGTAGATGGGGATACGAATAAGGACTTTGATATTAATGGATGCATCTGATAATACACAGAGATG